ATATATTTCAAGTATCGTATTAAATCAATTCAAAGAATATACGCCATCGAGTCCACTAAACGGCACTTTTTCGTCTCTCCACATATCAGCTTCTTATCCAGGAACGAGATATCCGCGACGTATTCGTAATAAATTATTCATAAAACCCTTCTTTATCGTCTCTAAAGTTTGCTCGGTCGGAGACGTTGACGATAGACCCGTTTCACGTTTTGCAGAATGGCCCCCACAGGGATGCCCCCGGTGACCGGGGTCCTGCAGCCACCCGCGGGCTCGACGCTGTCAGGGAGCACGATGGCGAACTACAAGAAAAGTTGGTGGAGAAGAGTGGCCCCCTGCTTGGCGTTTCTCGCTGCTTTTTCCACCGCCATGGCCTTGCTACTCGTCTGGAGCGAGGCTGCGGCCTTGAGGTGAGTTCTTCAACCTCTACACCCCGAGAAATTCAACGACAATTCTCTTTCTCTTTTTTTTTTTTTTTACAAATTCTGTCAATTCTTGCGTATTTTTTTTTTTTAACATCGATCACACGTTTGACATAACATATTCAAGTTACACGAAAGGATAACACCGAAGATTTAGAAGCTTCTCATATTAAAAGACCCTCGAGTTTCGTTATCCTCCATCGTGCACGAGGACGTAAAAAACTTTACAGCATCGTAAAATACAAGACTCAGATGCTCTAAAGCTGCCATTATACTCCCTCTTCTCTATCTCCTTTCCCTCACGATCCCTTCCATTAAGCGAGAACGTACTGTATCGCGATGGATTAAATAAGTAATTAAACGGATCTCCTCGTTTTTATTGCCCCCTTTTTTCCCATCGTCCTTTCTCTCTCTCTCTTTATTTCCCGTTCAGCAGAGAAACATCCTACAATTCCTACCGTACGTCGATCCATCCTGATGGATAGACCAAAGAAAGAAAAAAAATTGAAGGAAAAATGAGTCATAGAAAACGCGCATGTAACCGGTGTTCCCTGGCATCGTTTCAATTTCGATGCTCGTTCGCGGGATTTATCGCGTCGCTATCGTAGAAAGTCAAATATTTGATCGAAGCTTTCCACTGAAATCCGCCGCTTAAAGTGTTATGTACCTTTGTTATTATTAAGAGCCGGCGATTATCTCTGGCCAATTGACGACAAGGAGTGTGTGTGCGTGTGTTTGTGAATTGTTGAAGCTAATTGACGATGAACGAGGGGTAATTTGATTTGTTATTTGCGTTTGTACTGCGTGTGATTCATTTCTTCTTTTTTCGTTAGAGAGGAATAGTGCGTTACGACGGGGATTCGTTAAAGTGATCTCTTTCAGTGATCAATCAATTTGAGCTCGGCGAATCGTTAGTATCGTTCGAGACACGGTGATTAACGGAGTTGCCGGTCTCTGGAGAGAGAGAGAGAGAGAGAGAGATCTACAGAGACCGTGCGCCACGGAGACTAGACGCGTTAAAGAAATACGATTGTTAAACGGAGTTAATTACTAGGTCACCGGACGATTATTCTTTCTCTTGCGAAGCTGGTGACAAAGGCTAACAAAGCTGTTCGAGACGGGTTATTCGAGGAAAGAGAGCGTTCGACGAGTGGTTTATGAGTGGTTAATAGGTATTATTATCGATTCGATTAGTTCGTATCGTTTGGTGAAATTTTGTGGGTACGTAATTTGGGTTTTTGAGGATGTCCAGAGTAATGGGAGGTTAGTAGAATTTTTATAGTAGTGGAGGAGTAATTTGAAAGATTGAGAATTTGCGAATTTTTGGAATTGAAGAATTTTGGAGCTTTGGGACTTAGGAACTTGGGGCTTCAGAAATTTGGAGGTTTTGAAATTTAAGAATTTTAGAACTTTGGGGCTTAGAAATTTAGGAGCTTCAGAATTTGGGAAATTTCAGACTTAGGAACTTAAGAAATTAGGGGCTTAGAAATTTCGGAGCTTAAGAATTTGGGAACTTTAGAAACTAAAAAATTTCAGAACCTCAGGTCTTAGGAACTGAAAGCCCAAATACCCATTACTCTCAATATCCCGAACATCAACTCCCCACAAAGTTGGTCTAAAATTATCGAAAATCCTCCTATCTACTCGATCATCTTTCCATCCAAAACCATTACTCTCCGCGACAGCGGCAGAATCTACGAAGAGAAGACAGATACAAACGGTGCAAATACCGTTGCAATACCACCACCTATAGACGTTCCAAATATTTGTACAATAGGCAGACGACGTGTATAGATGGGACACGTGGTAGCATTCGAATGTCCATCACGAGTCACAGCCCTATTCTCTACACACGAGGCTCAAACGAAGGGAATAGCTTATCACCGTGTGTGTGCATTTTATCTGTGTATACATGTGTACCGGTGCTTAATGAGAAACCCCGGGGCTGTATTGGCCTTGTGTGTGTGCGTGTGTGTACATTAAAGTGGATGGTCCCCGTTTCACAGGCGGCAAGCTTTCGACGCGAACATGACCAGGGACTACGTGTTAAACAGCGTCTCGATGGACAATCCTGAATTGGTCGCGTACATCAGGGAGGTGCAATTGAAGCCTACCACGCAACAGGACCCGTTAAATGCCACCCAAACAACAGAGGAGAGGTACGTCGCGGGATTGACCGAGGGAAAACGCGAGGGTGTCTACGTGGAGTACATCAGCAGGGTAAGGAGAGGCCTTTTTAATCCGTCTGAGTGGCAGCAACAACGCTCAGAGATAATTCGTTGCCGAGCGCCTCTGGAAATTGTGGTTCGTACGCTCGAATCGCTCTTTCCGCTGGTGTTACTTATAGATGGGGGGGAAAATAGTCGTGAATAACGACGAAGATTCGTTCTTCGTTTTAGAGGGAAAGCGAACGTGTTAGGATCGCTTATTTTTATTAAACGTAGGTGTTCTATTGATTTATTAGGGAAGTTCCGAGATTATATTTCTGTGCAATTTTAATATTTGTTTTGTAATTGTTTAATTTTGGTTGAAGTTAGGAGCTCAAGGATTTGGGAATTTCTGGAGTTTGGGAACTTAGGGGTTTAGAAATTTAAGAGATTGAGAATTTCGGAGATTTTGGAATTTAATAATTTCAGAACTTTGGAATTTACAAACTTCGGAGCTTTGGAATTTAAGAATTTCATAACTTTAGGCTTTGAGGGCTTAAAGAAGGGTTTCAGAAGTTTGGAACTCAGGAACTCAGGGATTTAGAAACTTAGAAGCTTTAAAATTTAAGAATTCCAGAACTTTCGGCTCTCACGACTTAGGCGCGTGAACCTTAAAATCTTAAGAACTCCGTCAATTTTAGAATTCAAGAACATCAGATCTTGCCGCCTTAGAAACTTAAAAACTTCGGAGCTCAGCAGCGACCCTCTTAAACAATAAAACACTAAGTAAAAAATCGAATCGTTTCATTTTTCAGATAGGCGCCATCTCCAGCACAGGCTGGCTAGAGCGTAATCTAAGTTGGAGAGGCGTGCTGGTCCTGACCGATCCCAGGAGCTTCTTCGAGGCACACAGAAGCACTAGGAATCCAAAAACAAGAGTTCTGCATGCTTGTCTCAGCACCGATAAGGATACCAAAGAGGTAAATACACTAAAATTGTTCCCCAATCTATCTTAACGATAATAAATCACAGGAATTATCATCCGGACCAGGATTTTATCGGACCGTGTACCTGTTCGAATTTCAGATTACTTATCACCAGGAATCCGAGGTTCAAGTTACCAAGTTGGGCGAGGGTCCCAACAGTCTCGTGTCGTCTGACGAGGGTCTGCCTACCACGAGATTGAAATGCTTCCCTTTGTACAGCGTTCTGTTGGCCTACAGTGCCACCACATTGGATTACCTGAGTCTGGATAGTCCGGATGCTCAAGACGGTCAGGTAACTATCCATTTCACCTGATGTTTCCTTCGATATTCTCTCTTTTTTTTCTTCAAACTTTTTATGGTTCTGTAAATATCGTTACAGTGTGTTTTATCACGTCCAGGACGACAGGGAAATTCAGGAAACGATTTACGATCGGATGGTTCAGTTTTACCCAAATGTTTATTATCGGTAGACTAAGGATTTTTATGCAAATTTATATTTTTCAGAATGTAATAAGAAATGTAGAACTTGCATTCTGTGCTAATCTTCACTAATGCTTAATTTTCCAATATTCAATCTTTCCACCTATTAAATATTTTTTTATAGAATATTATAAAATAATGCAGTGACCCACCATGGGTCACACCGTCTATCTACACTTTTCTGTCGTCAATGCTGGAACGACTCATTGGTGAGTCACGTCGATAAACATCACTCGATGACCCACCATGGGTCACGCAGTCTACTCTTTTGTCATCAATGCTGAAACGACTCATTGACGAGTCACGTCGATAAACAACATCACTCGATGACCCACCATGGGTCACGCCGTCAACTCTTTTGTCATCAATGCTGAAGCGACTCATTGACGAGTCACGTCGATAAACAACATCACTCGATGACCCACCATGGGTCACGCAGTCTACTCTTTTGTCATCAATGCTGAAACGACTCATTGACGAGTCACGTCGATAAACAACCCGATCACTCGATGACCCATCATGGGTCACGCCGTCTATTCACCCTTTTCTATCTAATTTTTTTTCAACGTCGTGTCGATAAACAAGAGTATCACTCGAGGACACACCTCGGGTCCCGAACGTGTTAAAGAAACGTTTCTATCCTACAATTCTCCAGTGTAAATATTTTTCCTCTGTTCCTCTGTCGATACAGGTGCTCGATACGATTCCATGGGACACGACGAGGATATCCGTGGTGTCTATCCGTTGGAGTCCTCACCACAGCGAAGCAGAGACGAAAAGTCTGATCGACAAGATGACCAGCAGACGGTACAAGCTGATGTACACCAGCGACTCCGGGAAATTGATCTTTCTGTACAACGCGTTGCATAAGATTTGATTCACCTTGACTGTGAGAGGCCCAAGTTTCCAAATCACTCGACCGTTCTACGTACCCCGTGTCTTCTTTTTCTTTTTTCCTTCGACGAACAGGAGAGGACCTCGCGCGACGAGAAATATCACATTTTTCCTCCCTTCGGGAGTAAACGAGAAAGCACCGTTCGCGAGACGAACTTTATCTACCGTGATCGTTCTTCGAAACGAAATCAAGAATTACACGGAAAAGGGACACTCTTGATTTCGCGATCGAAGTGAAAGACACGGGAGCATTTCGAGTCCGTCGAACGTTGCTTTTACTCCGAAAGATGTTCCTTTTCCTCGGCTGCGTCGGATCGTAGAACAAGCCAAGACTTTTCTTTCCCACTTTACGGTAGGTATGTGAAAAAACGAGTCATTTCGTTCGTCTACTTTCGATTTCGTTTTTAATTTTTCTTGTCGATTTAACGGACACGTGACAAAGACTGAGAGACGATGATGAAGACGTTCTAAGTCGGCGCGTATTCTTCTTCAATTACGTTTAATCGATCTCCTTTTTTACACGAAGAATCTCGCGTACGCCTTAGTTTCAAGCAAACCAAAACGTAGGAAGAGCGAAGGATAATGAATGAAAAGGATAGAGAGAATTGTATTTAGTTTCGTACTCGTACTTTTGTTCGTTTTTTCCTCTTTTTTTTTTTTTCTTTTAGCGTAGGTTCGTTTTAATCGAAACGTTCAGCCAGTGTCAGACCAAGATGAATTAGCACCGAGACGTTTTACGAAGAATGTAGATTTTATTTTTGTCAAAGATGCGAACAGCCTCGTCGAACGCCGCGAAACTTATTCCCACCAAAATGATCGTTGTCCACGGCGTTTCGGACGAGCGGGCTGTTCGCCAGTGATAATCGAATGAGTTACTCTGATTACCTACACCACGGGCCTTATTAGCACGTAAGTGGATACCTAATAGCTAAGATAACGATAGAATACGAACTGAAACTGGGCTCTTCTCTGCTCCTTTTAACGAGGTTCTACGATTATTCCGTTGTGGAATCTGTGTAGTTAGTTTACGACGGTTGTAAAATGACCTCCTTATTTGGGCTTAGGTTCGAACGTACCTGACACCAGTCATTTTCTAACCGGAATTCGCCATTTACCTGCTTTCTCTTCTTGTCGATCTTTCGAAGGAGGTTCGAGGGATTGTTGAGAGGGTAAGGGTCACTATCGAACACCACACCTCTCCAGTAGCATCATTTTTGTTCTATCGATTTTAGGTATATACGTAAGTAGATATAGTCAAACCCCTTTACCATTCCACGTCCCCTCAGGAATTCAATATCTAATATTTCACCGAAGGTAACACCGTTCACTGGCACACCGAATTTACGTAGCTCTTCGGGGAGTCGGTTGATCGTTTTCCTTATCTGGAAATGGGAGATGTAAGTTTTTATTTTAGAGGAATGATGAATTGTTGAATTAGGGAAATGGTATTATTTCGTTATTATTCTGAAGTTCAAAGCTCTTCATTTTTCTGAAAATAGGAGATGCAACTTTTTATTTTAGAGGAATGATAAATTATTAAATTACAGAAATGGTATAACTTTGTTATTATTCTGAAGTTCAAAGCTCTTCATTTTTCTGAAAATAGGAGATGCAACTTTTTATTTTAGAGGAATGATAAATTATTAAATTACAGAAATGGTATAATTTTGTTATTATTCTGAAGATCAAAGCTCTTCATTTTTCTGAAAATAGGAGATGCAACTTTTTATTTTAGAGGAATGATAAATTATTAAATTACAGAAATGGTATAATTTTGTTATTATTCTGAAGTTCAAAGCTCTTCATTTTTCTGAAAATAGGAGATGCAACTTTTCAGTTTGGAAAAATAATAAATTATTAAATTACAGAAATGGTATAACTTTGTTATTATTCTGAAGTTCAAAGCTCTTCATTTTTCTGAAAATAGGAGATGCAACTTCTTATTTTAGAGGAATGATAAATTATTAAATTACAGCAGTGGTATAATTTTGTTATTATTCTGAAATTGAAAGCGCTTCGCTTATCAGGAAATAGGAAACACAACTTCTCATTTTGGAGGAATAACAAACGACTAAATTATAATTTTCTTCGAAATTTAAAATTACTAAATTATAATTTTCTGTTATTATCATTCGAAAATTTAAAACGATCCGCTTATTTCCGTAACACGGTGTGACAGTGAACCTGTTAAATCAACTAACAAATTCTACCATTCCAATCGTAATCACTCTACACATCAACGAAGTACGTTCAGGCAAACTACTCCAAACCGCACCAAAAACGAGAAGTTTCTTCTTCTCAAGCCTGGATCTCTTAAAGGAGCAGAGGAATTCCGGTTCTCGCGAGCTCGACAAGCGTGACACACACACACACACTTTATATCGCGATACATGAATTATTTTCTCGTCACGATCAAGTTCACAGGGTTTATCTGTCGTCTCAGCGACCAGCCAGAAACGCGGATTTATTTTCGGCTGGCGATTGCGATTTCGCGTCGAATCCGCTGTGACCAACGGCGTCAGAAAGTAGGAAAAGAAAGAAAAAAAGAACTCCTATTCGTCCCTAGAGAGAGTGTCCGATGGGACACAGCAGAGACAATTTACGATACTTCCTGTGAGATGTTATTATCGTCGAAAAATAAAAAAAAATGAAAAATTACGCAGCGTGCTTAACTGCATTTATGTGTACGTACGTAGAAACTACTATAGCGACACGCACCTGTGCATGATTCCCGTTTTGTACTTATGGTTAGAGGTCCGCCGAGCACACACGCATACATACACACACATCTACGATCGTTTTGTTCGAACGACAAGCGTTTCTCCCTTTTTTAAAACCCCTTTAGTTTCTCTTTCTTCTGTCGCCCGTTGCAAACCACCCCGAGAACGGAGGAAGTTTGTACCATTTCTTTCCGAGAGGACCGGACGGTTCCTCTCGGAGAACAATAAAGTAGATATTTTGGAAGAAAGTGTGATTTTCTTTTTCCTCGTCGGAAGAACTGCGGTGTTCATTTTGTGGTTTTGTAGCGTAGATCGAACTATCTCGAGAGAATGTGATCTCTCGCAAACGTGATCTCTTCTTAGATAATTCTGTTGTCAGCGGAACGATTGAAACTTTTTTTGTGTCGCATAATACGGTTCAAAGCGGCTTTCGAGATGATTACAGTACATCTTTTATCAGTCTACTTTTCGCTTCGAAGTTTCAAATTCACCTTTGTAAATCTGCAACTTTCTTAGCGGATGTTGCGAGGAATTGAACGAGTGTAATAACGAATATTCTTTTAATCCGAATACATCGTACAGAAACTAAAGTTTGCACTATGATAGACTGGATAAAACAATATGAATCGCGAAAAGAAAAATGAATAAGTGAAAGGTATCTTTGCAGCAGGACTGTGCAACAGAAAATAGAATTTTGATCGACCCACTGACAGCAGAATGATCTAAGGTGATCAGGTGTTTCACCCTGTCTCTTCAAACGACGCGAAAAAAGTACCAAGAATACGTGTAGTAATTTGTTTCTCTTCTTCTTTTCTCGAAAGGAAGAACGGTGATATTCAATTTTCTAACTCCGTTCCCCAACGTTTCCCCGTTTCCCTGGAAAGATCCATTAAACACGCGTAACTCACAATTAAAGCGGGCAAAAGGTACCTTAAGGTATCAAAAGGTACCGCGTAGACCACGTTTACACGTTCGTTCCCGTGGAAAAGTTTGCAAGGCCTAACAGAACTAGATTAAAGTTAATAGAGTATACCACGGGTCCTTGGTACCCGCGCTTTCCCTCCTTTTCTCGCTTCCCTTGAACTTTGCCGCGCTTCTATCTTGTTTGCACCGGTCGAGCTGTTTGCGTGAAAAAAGAAGGAAAAGAACGAAAATATGGTAATTCGTCGATAGACCGTGTCGAACATACTTTAATCCAACCGATACACGTTCCTTTGCGCCTCGTCGCGCGCTTTTCACCGATGAATCGCGCTCCCGATACCCTCGAGGCGTTCTATCGAAGAGAGAGAAAAAAGGAGAGAATGTCGAAAGACAAATATTTTTTATCCGCGATAACCACTACCACGCTGGCAGAAAAAGGCGGAGCGAGGAAATTACGAGTTTTACCGTTGTATTTCATACCGTTCCCTTTCTTCTTTCTAGAGAGGAGAGGAAAATTATGATTCGATACGGGAGTATTTTTGGCTCGTTAAAAGGCACGATCGAAGGTATCTAATAGCAGCGGTAGTTTGAAGTATAGTTGGTGGAAGTAATACAGTGCTTTCCGAGAGGATTACTCGTTCTTCTCCCTATTGGCCAGTTTGCTTGGTTTTCGGCCAATGAGGTTGTATCTAATTTATTAGCCACGCCCCCTTGGTGAGCTTTTTCAGGAACGTTTGATGTTGGCAATTTATTACAGCAACGCAGCGGGATTCTCCAAGATTCGAGACACATTACGTAGGAACCGACAACGAAAAAATATCGAGGGACCCAACGGGAATCGAACCCAGGACCTTTGGTTTAGCAAGCCGCGGCTTTGCGCGCTCCCTCTCTATTCTCCCGTGCCGGTTTCCTATTTTTGGGTACGGAGGCCCCGATACTACATTACGTGGTTCGTACAGTTAGTGGAAGCGATAGAGTGAGGTCGTAAATTGAAGCATTAATGAAGCATGGGACTGAGTGTATCGAAACTAAGACTGACAAAGGAAGTTGAAAAAAATTCAGAAAAATTGGACACTTCTCAGAAATATAGTTCAAGTGGCGTTAATAACGAAATTATTTTTTCTTTCGACAATGAAACGGTTCTAGAGATGACAAGACTCTCAAAAAAATTGTCAGTGAATGTTTGCAAAATTATTCACTACCTATCGCTTCCACCGACTATACTCTGCTGCCACGTGCCTCTACATCCGACGCTTTTGCATTTATCTTTGGATTAAAACGAGGGAAATAGCGGTAAGAAAGAAGAGGAATTTCTTGACAAACTGTTTCACCATAGAACCGA